GACGGGGGTGGGGGGTAACTTTCCAGGAGTGGGGAGGAGTGCCGCGATGTGTCTGCATCACCTAGAAGTGACATAAGCTCGTTGGGCAGTGATGCTCTGGTTTTTGGGCAAAAATCAATTGTAGAATTAGCTACAAGTCACAGAGTTTTGCCCAGACTCCTGAGGCAATCAGTTCCCAACAACATTCATTCACAGAAGAAAAGTTTATTGAGACAGTAGTGCTACAGGTATCATAACTATTTCGTGTTAGAACTAAAGAGAAAGCACGCGAAGCAGTAAGATATACACAACACAAAGGGGTCCCCTGATGGCCCCCAGCCAATCAGGTAGCCAGCAGAAGCCCACCAAAGTAACGGGTAACATTTTCCAGGAGAAAGACTACACCAGGCATTCAAGGTCATATAGCATGAAAGCCAGATAGTAAAGTCAGTGTAGGCACAGCAGAAATGAAACTCATCATTCCAAAGCATCCCCTCCTTCTACATGACAGCCAGGCAGGAGACCTAGCTGACAGTTGCCACCCAATGCCCCCAACATGCCTACATCACTTCCAGGTTATGCAGGCATGTCGTGGTTATTTTCAGCTTATTGGAGATAAGGGGGTAATTGGGGAGAAGATCACCTGAGAGCGGGAGACCCCCGCCCAGACTATGGGGTCTGGCAACACACACACACACACAACTACTCACAAAAAAAGCCACAGTGAATGGGGTGGAGACATGTGGGAATGGTGTGTGTGTATGCCCCAGGCCTACGCCACTTGCTGCCTTCCCCATCCCTACTCATCCCCCACTTCCCCTTGTCATGTTGACATAGCAGTGCCAACGTGGCAACAATTGCACTGCCCCACCCAGTGGCCCAGCAGTTCCCTTTTCTTCCTTCACAGCTGTGCTGCAGTGCTCAAAGCAGATGGCTCAGCTGTGAACCACAAAATGGGTTTGAAGGGGTGGTGGTTCAGTGCTGAACCCTTGGCTCCACCTCCTCTCCAGATTGGTGGTGAGCAGAATGTCCACAGGGACACTCTGCCTGCCGCCACCCTGCACGTCTTGTTTCATGTTTGCAGCAGAGGAGGTACTGCTTTACTCAGGCTCAAAGGAGAAAGCTGTGGGGAGTCCTACGAGTCGTGCTCAGAAGTAACACAACCATGTGTGCAAGCTCCCCCCAAAATGCAAGGCCACACGTTCCTCCTGAGGAAAAATTCCCACATGGAAGCAGCCCCTCTCAGCCTAACCTACCTAACATAACTCTTATGAAGGTAAAATAGGGAAAGGAGAGCCATGAATGCCAGTTTCAGAGGAAAGATGGGCTAAAAAACATAGTAGTTACTGTTGAGTAGTTGAGACTTTGCTTCTGTGCAGTGGCCAGATGTCAGCTCCACATGAATTTCATGTGCTCTTGTAGCACATACTGACCCTTTCCTTATTTTACCTCTCAACTTTCTTCATTGTCCAACTTACACACCCATACACTGCAATGGGGGATACTATCGTATGAATTATCTTGATCTTGGTCTCCAGGAACATATCCTTATACTCAGGGGTCTTGTTGTAGAAAAAGAGCTGCCGGAGCTCATTAGCATAACTCATTAGCATAACTTATTTGCATAACTCATCCTCCTGAGGAAAAATTCCCACATGGAAGCAGCCCCTCTCAGCCTAACCTACCTAACATAACTCTTATGAAGGTAAAATAGGGAAAGGAGAGCCATGAATGCCAGTTTCAGAGGAAAGATGGGCTAAAAAACATAGTAGTTACTGTTGAGTAGTTGAGACTTTGCTTCTGTGCAGTGGCCAGATGTCAGCTCCACATGAATTTCATGTGCTCTTGTAGCACATACTGACCCTTTCCTTATTTTACCTCTCAACTTTCTTCATTGTCCAACTTACACACCCATACACTGCAATGGGGGATACTATCGTATGAATTATCTTGATCTTGGTCTCCAGGAACATATCCTTATACTCAGGGGTCTTGTTGTAGAAAAAGAGCTGCCGGAGCTCATTAGCATAACTCATTAGCATAACTTATTTGCCTAACTCATTAGCATAACTTATTTGCATATGCCACGCCCCCTGATATCACCGGAAGTGACAGAAGGCCACACCCCCTGACATCACCGGAAGTGTGTCAGAAGGCCCGGTTACTTACCCTCCTGCTTCATCCTCATTCCCAAACGGAATGAGGATCGAAGCAGAGGGCGGGGTAAAGAAGGGGGCGGGGCTTCACCACGTGACCGCCCCGCCCCCTAGAGGTTCTCTTCCGGAGCTCCGTACCTGAGAGCTCCCCCCCGACTAGAGCCCTGCTTATACTTATGGATCTTTTCTAGTTTCTTAACGGCTGCTGTTCCCAGTCTCAATCTCCTTCTGATTTCCTTATTTTACCACTCGATGGTAAATTAGCAGTGTTTGAATGAGCATTATATCATTCTGTTTCCTTGTCCCTCCCTCCTCCCTCTCGTTGCTCCTTTCTGCCATTCTCCCATGCATGGATTTTCTCCCAGTTATTTGTGCCCATTGATTCAACAATTTCTTGATTCTTGGCATAGAAGCAACCAAAATCGATTAGATTCTTCCTACATAATGTTTCCATATTATCAGGAAAAGAGAAAGATGCCTGGAACACCAGGAGTCCCCAACGGAAATGCTTGTCATGTTGAACCAGAAGATCACAGTGGGCCAGAACTTCAGAGAACAGGAAGGTAAGTTCTACGTGGCTCAAAATGCTTTCTCTAAGAGGCAAAATGTTTTCAATATGCACCACTTTTTCCACTAGCAGTGAAGTTCATGTGAATCCTGAGTCTGGCTGACATGGAAAAAATTAGAACAGACGAATACTTAAGCTGAATGAGACCACTGGTCTATCAAGGTCAGTACTGTCTACTCAGATTAGCAGTGTGTGTGTGACTGTGTAAAGCGCTGTTAAGTCACAGCTAACTGATGGTGACCCGATGAATTAATAACCTCAAAAATATTCTATCATGAATGGCCTTGCTCAGGTCTTGCAAACTGAGGGCCGTGGCTTCCTTGATCGAGTCCATCCATCTCATGTTGGTCTTCCTCTTTTCCTGCTGTGACTTTTCCTGGCATTATTGTCTGTTATCTTCTCATAATGTGACCAAAGTACTATAGCCTCAGTTTGGGTATGTTAGCTTCTAAGGAGAGTTCAGGCTTGATTTGAACTCACTTTTTTGTCTTTCTGGCAATCCACGGTATCTGTAAAACTCTCCTCCAACACTGCATTTCAAATGAATCAACTTTCTTCATTGTCCAACTTACACACCCATACACTGCAATGGGGGATACTATCGTATGAATTATCTTGATCTTGGTCTCCAGCAACATATCCTTATGCTTATGGATCTTTTCTAGTTCCTTATTGGCTGCTGTTCCCAGTCTCAATCTCCTTCTCATTTCTTGGCTGCAGTCTCTCTTTTGGTTGATGACTGAGGAATAGAAACTCTTTAACAATTTCAGTTTCTTCATCGTCAGCCTTAAAGCTGTGTGATTCCTGCTACTTTCCTTTTAAACTGAAGATGCTGAGGGACTGAACCTGGGGCCTTCTGCATGCCAAGCAGATGCTCTGTCACTGAGCCACAGCTCCTCTCTAGTGTACGGCCACAGCTGTATGAAGGAAGTAATGTAGGAATGCTTCCCAGTAGCATTTCATGTGGATGGTGTGGGGAGAAATATGCCACCATACTCATGTGAATGTTTGGAAGAGGCAGAAAGCTCCCGGAAGCAGTCTCTCTGTCTATCACATTTTTATCCCACTCTTTTTCTCACAACCTTAGAGCAGTGTACATTGGTCTCCTGTCCTCTTTTTAGCCTCATGACAACCCTGTGAGGTAGGCCAGACTGCAAGGTGAATGATTCGCTTGAGGTCACCCAGTGCACTGCATCATAGAGTGGAGATCTGAATCCACTACACCACACTGGTTCTCTCCATTATACTAGATCTCTTGCTGGTTGCATATGTAGTGGCTCTATGTTAGGGTTAAAGAAGCTTTAGTGATTCAGTCCTTTAGTGCTTCCACGTTGGTATTGAGTTTAAAAAAAAATAGGGGCATTCAGTTTCAAATTGAAATTACTATTTCTGTACTTGCTTTCAGCAACCAAACAGCTCAGATCAGAAGCAGCAAACTTGCCTAGCAGCAGTGAACTTTCTCAGTGGGAATGAATCAGAGTGACCACTGGTATTCAAAATTGTGCCTTCTGATCATAGCTATCCTGCTTGCTTACACAGATCCTGTGTAAGCTGGCCATTACTGAACCCATTGCAAAGGACCAGGCTGGAGACAGAATTTGTAAGTGAACTGAAGTTGTTATGATGGAGCTGTCAGTTCCTGTAGGGCACAGACTCACCCCACCGTCATTTCTTGCCAACATGTTTTGTCGGCTTTTAGAACACTACAGAACCTGCAAAAGACAAAAACAAAACAGTGAACAGAGATGACAATGAATTGTACAACCAGCAACAATGCTGCTTTCATCTCTCTAAAAAGGAAAAAAAAACAACCACCCAGATTTTGCTCTGTGCCTTCATGCCTTTTCTGGTAACTTCTTTGTGGGAATCAAACAATTAGACTGTCTGCCTTCTAGCAATCACCCTCCTGTCTTTTTTGGTTTTTTTGCAGACTGTTTGGCGGTTTGATCCAGGATCTGAAACGGAAAGCTCCTTGGTACTGGAGTGACTACAAAGATGCTATAAGTTTGCAGTGTTTAGCTTCCTTCCTCTTCCTGTACTGTGCCTGCATGTCTCCTGTGATCACCTTTGGGGGGTTGCTTGGAGAAGCAACAGAGGGGCAAATAGTAAGGATGATTTCTCCCTCCTGTCATGTATTTTGAGTTATTGTCAAGTCAGACTTCAGGAGAATAGAGTGGTATTACAGAGTGCAGTGAGTGTCTGGTTTTACTGTCGCTCTTTTACATTTGAGGTATGTGTGCTACTTGAGATGAATGGATCTTGTATCTTTAGCTTTGTTGTGTGGCCAACATCCCAGTTTTTGGAGCTTTGTAATTTTACGTTTCCCAAGTAATATGGGCCTTCAGATACTTCTTCTTATGGAGGACAAACTCTAGGCTGTCTCTTCTAGGACAGAGAATGAAGAGTGTTTATTTGAGTTCACTATCACTGGATTAATTACCCCTTAACACATGTCAGCCACCCTCATAATTACTGGGCTTAATGAATGGACATAATTTTTTAAAACTTGCTCAATTTTGATTATAGGTATAGAATCCCAAATACGTATCATCCCTGATTTCACAGTCATGAGTGATGATATCCTTCTTTATAATAATCTGAGGAAACTTTCTACCCTGGTTGCTCTTTTTTGGCAGAATGTATATAGAAGTGGCTGTATAATTTTGTTCTTTTAGGATATAGTCATCTGCAAGCAAGTAAATAATGCCCCCGAAGTACAGATACTTATCACTACAGTTTTCTTTCTGTAATTGAACAAACAAAAACATGGAGCATAAAAGAACGTCAGAGATCTATTGATTTCATTACTGTGAGGCTTTTTATCCCCAGCCAGTGTATAACATACTGGGATTTTTTTTAAAAAAAAAGTCCCATGAGTTTTTGCAAAGGAAAACTGATCCAGGGGGAAGCATTGATTTCAAGTGTTATATCATTATTATCTGGTTAGCACAAACAATGAACTTTTACTAGAAAGCACTTACCTTACCAGAGACTGATCTGTTCTTGGGGCAGAAAGAATAACCCCAAATAACAGCAATATTAGCAATTAACAATGAACATCATCTTCCCTTTACATTTTATGACAGCTAGGTTTACCACAGTTTGGTTTGGGTGCAAAATCGGATTCAAAGTTTCTGTTGCTACAAACTTGTCCTTCAGTTAGAGCACCACCAATGCTCCCTCTAAGCTGTGGAGTCTTGTGAGCAAAAATTCTACTTTGGGAGCTACTGACATTAAAGTTGTGAGCGAGCGATTTGGCTACTGCATAAATTAGTTTGAAGCCATCCTTCCTGAGCTAAGACAAAAATGTGTGAACCGGAGGCTAAAAAACTGTGAGCTAGCTCATGCTAACTCAGCTTAGAGGGAACAGAGAGCACCACCCTGTAAAGTCTAACATAAAACAATTGTAAGGTTTGAAGTTACAAAAGGGTGCACTGATTTTTCTTCAGTGAGAAATGAAAATACCTCTTTTAAGAAAAAAAGAGAATTAGTAAAAAAAAAGTTAATTGGGGGGGAGTTAATTTTGGAAAACTAGAGGAAGCAATTGTGAATATGGAACTTAGGGGTCATAAAAATCTGGAATGCACAGTAAAAATGCTGTTTGAAGAAGTACTTTGCCACTTTAGAAACTTAAAATGAAGGCTGTTACAGATTAATTTTTTCTTCTTCCCATATCTCAAATTTAAAAGAGGTCCGTGGTTTCATGAAGAAAGCCTACTGATCCGTGTGACTGAATTGCCATGTGAATTACAGAATTTAATGTAGCCTTCAAGTGGGGGCTATTCCAGATGCAACAGCCCCTCCCAAGGGAGTTCTAAGCTTAGTTGCCTCTGTAGAATGTGGAATTAGCTATGGTTAGGATAATGAGCTTCATGGACCATTTGGCTGACCTAATGCAGCACTTCGTTTATTCTCATGTCTGTGTTTATACCTGCAGAGTGCAATGGAATCCTTATTTGGTGCCTCTATGACGGGTGTGGTGTATTCCCTCTTTGCTGGCCAGCCACTCACTATCTTGGGGAGCACCGGGCCGGTACTGGTCTTCGAGAAAATTTTGTTCAAGTTCTGCAAGTAAGGTGGTGCACTCCCTAAGGGCCTAAATAAATATAATGGTGATTTGGCAAAATGAAGTGAGAGATTTAAAAAACTCTGTTTCTTATCGTAACTAGAATCCAACACAGAGTTAAGAACATCTAAGTCAATTTGATTTCAGTCTTCTCATGTCCACAACTGTATATTGGATTCTGTTTTATTTTAAATTTTTTGTTTGTTCTTGCTTTTGCTTTTCTGTATGTTGTTATATGGGTAGTGTTATTGTTCTTCAAGATAGATATTCAGGTTTTTTTTCCCTTTGTTAAATTAGGGCCCTATTCATACGAGGCATTTTGGGCTGGGAGCCGGACAGAACGGGGGCGGAGCAAACAGGCGCGATCCCACGGCAACATCTGGGAATCGTTGCCTGCCCGTCCCCGATCCGTCCCTCCCGCCAAAAACCCGCACTAAAAAAGAACCACCTACCTAGGTGGTTCTTTCGAGTAGAGTGCCTCAAGCCGGGCTGTGGGATCGGCTGGCGCATCCTTGCGCCGGCGCATCCCGGCCCCTGGCCGTACTGCGCATGCTCGAGCAGCCTCCCCCTCCCATCGGACCCTTCCCCCCTGGCATCTGATCGTGCCGGGGAGCGCCGTGCTGCGGCTCGGGATCCGTGGGATCTCGCTGCGGCGTCTCAACTTTGGTGCGGCTTTTAAAAGCCGCACTTTTCCCTGCGTTTTCCCTGCCGTGTGGCAGGGGCCTAGGTGTGCTTAACTTTAAATGAAGAAGAGTGGTAAGGGATCCTTTCACTGTTTGTAGATTTCCAACATAAGCCACAAACACCCCTGAGGGGATCTTTAACTCTTGAAAGCTTATGCCCTGGAAATCTTGTTGGTCTTTAAGGTGCAAATTGACTCGAATCTTGGTCTTTAAAATAGTAATATCATCTCCTAAAAGTAATGCCTATCAAAGGTATAAAGGTCCCATGTGGTCAGATATGTTACTTAGAGAACACAGATGTCTAGAATCCACTTTAAATGTTTCCTGGATTTCCTGTGCCTGCACAGTAGGTCAATCTTTGTGGAATGAAGGTGCTGGATAATCCATATGCAGGAGGTGGGACTAAATGGCTTTCTAAATCTATGATTTGTTACTCTACTTTCAAGAACTCATTTCCCTCTCTTTATGTGTCCTATTTATTTATTTTTGACCATGGCCTCCTTTGCAGAGACTACGGGCTTTCTTATCTTTCCCTGCGGACCTGCATTGGCTTGTGGACTACTTTCATGTGCATCCTTCTTGTGGCAACGGATGCCAGCTCTCTCGTCTGCTACATCACTCGCTTTACGGAAGAAGCATTTGCCTCCTTGATCTGTATCATTTTCATCTTTGAGTCTCTGGAAAAATTGCTCAGCCTGGGGCACACCTACCCGATTCATATGAACAATGACCTGGACCAGCTGAGCTTGTATTAGTGAGTTACTTCCCGTCCCCCCCCTCTTAACAAGCGTGCACTCCTGTTGATTTATTTAGTTTTATTTGAATTCATTTACTGATTTCTACAGGAGTGCTGGTGGTATACAGAAGTATTTATTCAGTGGATGTATATATCTACACAACCATTCAGCTGTCACACGTATATGTTCCAAAGTACATGTGTTTGTAATATGGGATGCTTACTACAGGCATTATTCCGTCTAACGCTGAGCCGACAGCGTCTTCTAGACAGTTTCAGCGCACAGCCAAAGTAGAATCAATCACTTTTATTCAGGTTTTTTTTAACATGCCTTTTTAAGAGGTCTTTACTCACATCTTTGTGATTGAATTCCTTTCACTGGCTCATGTGGTGAAAAGGATGGTCGTCCACACTCCTTGCCGGTTATAGAGAACAAAGGCTACAGGAAGAGAGTTGTAATTCGAACCCTCCCGCGCCTCTGTGTGCCGGATGCGGTGGGGTGTCTAACTAAAGACTTCAATTCCCAGGAACCACTGCTCTTAAAGCTATCTGGCAGTTCTGCTTAACTACAGTCTCAAATGCTGGCTGGAACAGCACAGGCATGATACAGTTTTCCCCATCCCAGCATAATACAATACATAAGTGTAAGCTTGTTTTTGCACTGTGATGTAAACAAAGCTGTGTTTTTTGAAATGGTCTCAGTCTGCTTAATAATCTCTCTCCCCTCCCCCCCTCTCTGCCTGTTAGCTGCAAATGCACAGCTCCTCAGAATCCCAGCAATTCCACTCTGAACTACTGGAATACCAGCAACATCATCCCTTCTGCTGTTCCATGGGCTAATCTCACAGTTTCTGTAAGTGTTTGCACTGCTGTCTCTCTCCCCTCCCCTTGTAGGAGATGAGGTCTGAGGTAACACTTTCCAACATGATTTTAACACTTTTTTTTTTAAAAAAAGAGTGCCCTTAAAGGTATAATGGATCTGTTGTAGAAGCAATTGCAAAACTGAGTACCCCTCCCCCACAAGTTTGGAATTTTGTAACTGAAACAAGAAAACCCACTCCGTTATTGCTGGGGAGGATCACTGTCAGGGCCTGCTGGATCCTGGTGATGGAACAGCGGAGATGACCTCGGAAACAAAAGGGGGCAGCTTTGTGGCATTTAATAACCCCCTGTTCACAGCTACTACTCCGAATGACCACTAGGACCACTCCTGCAGAACTCTCTCCTAGTGTTCCAAATGCTGCTTTTTAAACCCACAGTGAATTGGGTTATCCAGAATGCTCTGTGATGACATAAAGAAGCCAGTGTGCTACAATGATCAGTCTGTCAGTGTAAGACAGGGGAGGTTAAGCAGCAAGATCTATAGACACAAAACAAAGATGTTTGTGAGGCCTCTAAAGATGAAAGTCATGTGTCTGGTGCCAAATTCACAGCTGCTAAATTAGAACATCTTCCAATTTAGGTCCAAAAAGCACCTGTGTGGCTATCTTAGAGCTAGAGTGTCCTCAATCAAATAGCTCTAACTCTGACTAAGATAGCCACACAGGTGCTTTTTGGACCTAAATTGGAAGATGTTCTAATTCAGCAGCTGTGCATTTGGCACCAGACACATGACTTTCATCTTTAGAGGCCTCACAAACATCTTTGTCTTGTGTCTATAGATCTTGCTGCTTAACCTTCTTTTTCTTAGTCCAATATTAACTTATTGGTTATCTTATTGTAATATGTATTATTGTTACGTGTACCTCAATACTGTTTGACCTCTGAAGAAGGCCCCAATAGGGCGGAAATGTGTCAGGTCACGTGTATTGGCCCTTTTGTTTAGGCCATTTGAACTTTATAGCGAGGCTTTCATTGGGCCCTTATATGTTTCTGTCTTTCTAATAAATACATGTATTTTTGTATATTGTAAGTTTCAACTTACAATAAGTTTCAACTGGAGCTGCGGTGGCTCAAGTGGTTAAGACGCTGAACTGCAGGCTGGGGAAGGTCAGTAGTTCAGCAGTTTGAGACCCGAGTGTGCTGCATGATGGAGTGAGCTCCCGTCTCTAGTTCCAGCTCCTGCCAACCTAGCAGTTCGAAAGCAAGAAATTGCAAGTAGATAAATAGGGACCACTTCCGTGGGAAGGTAACAGCGTTCCGTGCACCTTGGTGTTTAGTCATGCCGGCCACATGACCACGGAAACGTCTTCGGACAGCGCTGGCTCTTTGGCTTTGAAACGGAGATGAGCACCGCAACCCTAGAGTCGGACTCGACTGGCTTTCGAGCAAGGGAACCTTTACCTTTTAAAGTTTCAACTAGGTTTTTAATATTGGCCCTTTTCTTATCCTTGTGGTTCTTGATTACAGTTTTTGAGTCAAGTTCGTTTTTCCCTCCCTGTGTCTTACTAAGACAGGGGAGAACCTGGTTCAGATTCTCAGTGAGCGCCAAAACACATGATATATGTGGCATAATTTGGGTCCCAGGTACCCAACCTGACTTTAGTCACGTGTATGATCGGCAAAAATCATCTTCAAAACATTCTGTTTCTCTGTTTGGTTTGTGGGCACAGTGAGGGGGGGAGGATGGGCTACAGGCTTCCCTCCTGCCTGATTTTTGACAGCAGAAATGTCCAGTGGCAGGAGCTTCTTTACCTCTTCCTCAGGCTTGAAAACAGTATGGGAGGGAATCTTGAAGTCTGTCCTCCCCTCTTGCAGTGTTCCTAAGCAAAATGGAGCCACAGAATGCTTTGAAGGTTTGTTCTTCTGAACATACGTGTGACTACAAGTTGAGTCAGGCATCCAACTTACGTCATATGTATCAAGTATTTATGCCCTGAGCCACGAACCATGCTGGGTGATCTTGGCCCTGCCAGCTTCATCTGCCTCAACTTTGTTATAAGGGGGGAAAAGGGATGAAGGGAGAACCATGTTTGTTGCCCTGGTCTCTTGTGAGGAAAGCGGTGATAAAAAGGTAGACATCTTGCATTGCCTTCTTGTTTACTTCAGCCAGCTTCCTGTCAGCCTTCCCAAACAAAAGGAACCCAAAAGAAACACTTCTTTACATGTGGAAATTCTCTGCCAGAGGATGTAGTGGTGGCTACAAGGATAGACAGCTTTAAAAGTGGATTGGACAGATTCGTGGAAGACAGGTTTATCTGTGGCTATTAGCCATGGTGACTAAAGGGAACCTCCACATTCAGAGGCAGTAAACCTCTGAATACTAGTTCCAGGAGGCAACATCAGGGGAAATTCTCAGTCTGTCTGTCCTGTTTGTTGGCCTTCCAGAGTAACTGGTTGGCCACTGGAGTAGATGGACCAATGGTCTGATCCAGCAGGGCTCTTCTTATGTTCCCACTGGCCACCAGATTTAGTTTCTCTGAGAACCATCATGGCAGTTGCTCTTCTTTTTTATTTGTGGGGTGTCACCTCACAGGCCTCTTGATTCTTTAAAGAGCTTGGGATTAAAGAGAAATGCAGCAGGCCCAGCTGCCTCCTCTGTAACTTCAGGCCAAGGCCTTCAAATTCACTATCCTGCTTTGATACAGGGACACAGTGTTCTAGGCACTGGGGTGAGGACATGGGAGAATTAGAGTTGCTAAAGAGTTGGAAACTTCAGTCTAAGGTCACAAGGGCTGGGAAAGTGACCGCTATTCTCCATAAAATACAATCTTGGAACAGGTGGGAGAGCCCAGACTGACAAATTCAAATTGGAAACATACTGGGTTGGATCCAGGCAACTTTTCTGCTTGTAACAAAAAGAAGAAGTGGTTCCCTTTGACTACCAAAAAGGCTTTTCTGGGTTCATGGGACATACACGAACAAAGTCATGTGGGGTGGGAGCTGTAGTAAGGAGAGGAATTAGATGAGTGCAAAAGCTGGTTGGAGCCAAGCTAGGGTTGCCAACTCCCTGGAGAGAAAGCATGCCCTGCCCTTTTAATAAAGGCTTATTTACCAGGTGATGTGATCTACCTCCATGCCATGAAAAGGTTCAGCTGTATTAAGCCTTTGAGAAAGGGACAAGGACATCCTTCAAGCCAGTTGGCAGCCCTAGTCCAACTCAAATGCTTCTTTTTGTTGCTGAGAAGAATAATTCTGTAGAGTTGGATCGACAGGCACCATCTATCAGATAGAGAGCTGTTCTAGGTATGCTCCAGGTGAAACATTCTGGCAGAGAGCAATCCTAAGCTGCTTCTCTCAGCAGTAAGGCCTATTTAATTAAATGGGGCTTACTCCTAGGAAAGTGTTCTTAGGATTTCACCTTAAGTTTCTGTTTGTTTTTGTGCATTCTTGCGAGGTTTCTTTGCAATAAATATATATGAATACTTACTGAGGTTAATTGTTGTCACTGTGTTTAATCAGCCTTGATATAATGCATAATGTTGCCACTGTAGCCCTCACAGTGTATTTCGATTTATATCTGTTTTGATCAGAAATGTAAGCTGATACATGGAGAATTTATAGGACCTGGATGTGGACACGATGGCCCTTATACTCCTGATGTTCTTTTCTGGTGTTGCATCTTGTTTTTTACCACCTTTGTCATGTCAAGCACACTGAAGCAATTCAAAACCAGTCGCTACTTCACAAAAAAAGTATGTAAAATGTCTGCAAGCCTATGCAACAGGTTTTAATGCTTAACTAGACTGCATTGTCTAATAACAAGGGATGGGCCTTGTTATTAGACTAATGACTAATGCCATAACATATAAAGAGAATATGTATAAGATGTTCTATAGATGGTATGTTACACCTGATAGACTGGCTAAGCAAAATATTCTGTGTAATTCATGGTGGCCTGTGACAGTTCATGAAGAACAGAAAGCAGGGGTTTACTCCTGCTTTTTGCTCTTCAAAAGAAGCAGCTGAGCAGCTGGGAACTCCCCACAACTCAGCTGTTTGGTTTAAATGGCTCAGAGCCATTTAACCCCTGCTTTCAGCTCCCCGCAGTTTTTTGCAGGGGCAGAAAACAGGGTCTAAATGGCTCGGAGCCATTTAAACCACTGCTGTTTTCTACTTCCTGCAGCTTTTCATGGGGAGCAGAAAGCAGGGTCATTTAAATGGCCACAGGGAGCAGAAAGGAGGGTTTAAATTGAAAGGATGAAGTGCCTTCCTAGGGCACTTCACCCCTACCTTTCTGCTGACTGCAGCTTGCCCCTTCCTGGGGGATCTCACCCCCACTTTCTGCTGTCTGGGGCTCACCTTGGCCAGCAGAAAGGTAGGAGGGTAGTCCCTTCCCAAGATCTCTCCCCCCCCTTCTGCTGGCCACTGTTTTTTTGGGCTGTCTTTTGCAGTCCTTTTAATGTTTAAAGGGACTGCAGAAGACAGCTCAAAACAACTGCACAGTGAAGAGTACCTCCCTGCTGCCCAGCTGTGCTTAGTGCTGTTTTGCAGTCCTGTAAAAACCTTTCCACAGGTTTTGCAGGGCCATGAACCGCACTAACCCATTCAGTTCATAAACAACCCTCCTGGTTCAGTGTTCAGTTTGTGCATTTTCCTCGTTCATGCCCATCCCTAATAATGATGGCCTGGCTGGGTTCCCTCTTTCCATCCTGACTTAGATATCACTACTTTTCTTGATTACTAGATTTCTGCTTCCCTTTACTTTCCTTACCCAGCAGTGTGGCATGGTCCATTTCAACCTGCCCCCCAATGCACCAAATGTACAGTGCCCCTGTTTTGTAGCTGTCCTTGGTTGTCTGGAGAGGAGAGAACTGAGAGGTGATAGGATAACCATCTTCAAGTACTTGAAGGGCTGTGCAGAGTGGTTTTCTGTTGCCCCAGAAGGTCGGACCAGAAACAACCATTTGAAATTAAAAGAGTTTTTGACTAAACATTAGGCAGAACTTCCTGACAGTTAAAGCGGTTCCTCAGTGAAACAGTCTCCCTTGGGAGGTGGTGGGCTCTCCTTCACTGGAGGTTTTCAGACAGAGGCTAGATGGCCATCTAGTAGCAATGCTGATTCTGTGAACTTAGGCAGATCATGAAAGGGAGGGAAGTAAGGGTTGCATCAGTGCTTAGTTCTCATGGTCCTTTCTTACATCCCCAGGGAAATGCTGATCACCACTTTGTGGTCAGGAAGCAATTTTCCCCAGGCCAATTTGATCAGGGATCCTGGAGGTTTTTTTCCTTCTTTTTTTGCTCTCTTCTGGGCATAGAGCAGGGGTCACCGGGTTGTGTGTGGGGGAGGTATTTGTGAATTTCCTGCATTGTGCAGGGGGTTGGACTAGATCACCCTGGAGGTCCATTCCAACTCTGTGATTCTATGCAGGTTAATTTGTTTGTTTGCAAATAAAATAAAAACCCTGCATTCGAGGTGGGTGGGTGAAGACTGCTGGCTTTCTAGCCTCCTTTCCATTCTGGATCCTTCTCCATCCATCAACATAATCTGCCACTCTGACAACTAGCATGGACCCCTCTGTGTGCTCTGATAACTGATATGCCCCCTGCTGAGCCCCCTCTTGGTCTTTTGCTCTAGGTACGAGCCATGATAAGTGATTTTGCAGTATTCATTACCATCTTGACTTTGGTGTTGATCGACTTTTTAATTGGCGTCCCATCACCAAAGTTGAAAGTCCCCAGTGTCTTCAGGGTAAGTTCATATTTTTCTTAAAAAACAATGTATTTACTATGGATTAATAGGAACAACTAGCATGGGGGCAGGTCTGGTTCCTGCAACCCCTGAATGGATGGAGTTCACAGAATGAATTTTTCCACCTCCGTGCTTCTGCTGCAGCCCGCAGTAACCCCCTCCCAGCTCCTCTCGAGGGTCAGGCAGAGCCAGTTAAGTGCTCAAGCAACCCACTTGGGGCACCATATCTTGTTGAGAGCACTGCTGCCTAGATGGGACAGGCTATCACGATCTCAGCAGATCTCAGAAGCTAAGCTGGGTCGGCCTTGGTTAGTACTTGGATGGGAGACCACCAAGGAAGTCTAGGATCGCTATGTGGAGGCAGGCAGCGGCCAAACACCTCTGTTTCTTACCTTGGAAAACCCTATGGGGTCACCATAAGTCAGCTGCAACTTGACAGCACTTTCCACTATCTTCGTTTCAAGGTAGGCTCCGGAGTGCTGTTGGGTTTGTTTTTCTCCCATCCAATGGTGGGACAATTCTGCCTCGTCACTGCTTGGGGGTGCAAAGTGGTATCCAGAGGCACTGGTAGCACTGCTGGGGTCTGTCTCCCCCTGGCCACTACCTGGGTGAGAGGTGAGTTCCAGAGGCTCTGGCAGCTCATTTTCTCCCAGCTGGCCACAGGGTGTGTCACCTCCCACCCTGCTTGGGACAGCATAGTGCCTTGAGATTGGTGGACTATTGGGGACAAAATGGAAAGCAGCACAGGGGACTGCCGCTTGAGAGGGAGTTGTATGAAATGCCATCCCCTCTTACAAGAAGTCTTCCACAAAACGGAGGGTACACTCGTACAAGAGATATGTGTGTGTGCTGGGTTTCTGCCAATTCCCCCTTCCTTCTGCACACCCCACAACACAACATCCGTCACTGTTCCTGCAGAAGAAAGGTTATTTTCTTAGGATGAGGGTTGGTTTAATGTTTAATGGTCAAGTAGGCATAAATGAAAGAGGAGCTGTGGGCTAGTTATCCTGTTTCCTTACCCATGGTCAGTACTGAGCATAGGAGGCAAAGGATGAGCGAAGCAGAGTATGGAAGGCGATAGGAATTCATGGCTGGAGGCAACTAGGAGAGTGTGAAAAAGGAAGGCAGAATGCAGGTATCGGGGGTGTTGGGAAACAGAGGAAAATGACACTCATCATAGAAACGGAGGAAGCTTTAACTGCAACTGTAGGTGGTCAGGTATCGGGGTGTTGGGAAACAAAGGACAACGGCACTCATCATGGAAACAGAGGAAGCTTTAACTGCAACTGTAGGTGGTGGCTGGTTGCACAAAAGGAACACCCTAAAATTAGCAGGGACTACTCACATCCTTGCAGTGATAACAGTTATCATGTGGTAAGGTGAATGATTGAAAGCTGCTTGCATGTGGTAATATCTTCTAATGGAGTGGATTTGGGAGAACCAAGTTTATGGTAATAATAATTATTATTATTATCGTACGGCAGTGGTTTTTTCATTTTACATAGATAGCTATTTGCCTTTTGAAGACCAAAGCTCCCTTCTCTACTTGGGCAAGTGGCCTGTACTCAGCCAAAAAGACCCTCCTCTGTTCAAGATACAGTAAAACAGGTGATGACCATTACTCCATATTCCAGAGTACACCTTTCCATTCTTGCGGGCTGCCAAAACTCACTTTCAACTAGGTATCGCCAGGAAAGGTCAGTAATGGCAAACTAGCAGCCTTTTAGGCAGCTTGCCCACCATTAACATTCTTTGCACTGAAGAACCTCTGATAAGGTTCTGAGAAATCTCAGGCTGCTAAGAATAAAGTTTGAAGAATGCAGCCCTAAGGTAATCTTACGACGGGACATTTCCTGGGTTTTACTGGTCCATGAGCTACAGCATGAGGGCATTGTTGTTGCCTTCTCTTTGCCCATGACTTCATCCTTCAGTGAAGCTTGTTTGCTGTAATCTACAGAGAAAATGGGCTTTTGGTTATGTCACTGTACTGGCATGAGTGTGAGATCTCTTGTAAATCCTGAGACCTGTATGCCTGATCTGACTAGCAGTTCAGCACAGTGAACCATTAAGGTCATGCAAGAAATTTTAGATGCCTAGTACAGATGGATATATTTAAATTCAGGATGGGTGGGGAGTTAAAGGCAATCTTCTGAGGCAATCAAGAGGGAAGTGCATTTGACACTGAACATGTCTGTGTATTTGTCTGCAGCCAACAAGAGATGACCGTGGGTGGCTCATTAACCCAATAGGTCCCAACCCCTGGTGGACAGTGTTAGCAGCTATCATCCCTGCTTTGCTCTGTACCATACTGATATTTATGGACCAACAAATCACTGCAGTTATTGTGAACAGAAAGGAACATAAACTGAAGGTAATGAGTGCTAAGACCTCTGGGGGTTCCTGTGTTATTATATCCATGACTATGACATGAGAAGTACAATAAAGTTATGCCATTACCTGGAATGGCAGCAGCTGTCACTTACCTGAATTAAAAAGCTCTGATTCAACACAGTCTTTGCAGGTGCGTTTATGTTTTTTATAGATAAACATAGGCTGAGATTTATATACCTGCTGAGTATATACACTTTTATTAACCTAGAGCCTAGATGTACACCTTTATTAACCTAGAGTATTTGCATATCCCTCCTTTCTTTCAACAGTGTGAGGACCCAAGGTGGATAGTAGCATTAAATACAATACAAATTAATCATCTATTAAAGTTCTTAAAGCACAAAATTAAAACAAATGATTTGAAACAGGGAGTTGAAACACATAAGCCAGAACCTTGTTCTTGCTATGCTATTTCTGTCTTTAGGACAGGTTTTTCCTCCTCCTTCTCCCCAAATGCTAGAATTTGAGGCCACCAAATGAAGTTGATGGGCAACAGATCTGTGACAGATAAAAGGCAATAGTTCTGTACTCGGTGTATAATTAAATTGTGGAATTCATTGCCAGTGGACATAGTGATGTCTACTAGCATAGAGGCTTTTAAAAGGGAGTTAGACAGATTTGTGGAGGAGAGGTCCATCAGTGGCTACTAGACATGGTGACTGAATGGAGCTTCCATATATAAGACTAATAAACCTCTGAATACCAGTGCTAGGAGGCAACATCAGCAGAAGGTCTTGGCCTCTATGCCCTGTTTGTTGATCCCCTAGGGCAATTGATTGGCCACTGTATGAAACAGGATTCTGGACTAGATGGACCACCGGTCTGATCCAGCAGGGCACTTCTTATGTTATATCATAGGACTAGCGTTAGAAATCAGCAAAAATACTAAAATATAAATCCACTGGAAGCTTAATGGAAGCCACTATCGGTAAGAATTAAGAATTTGCCTGCAGCCGCTTCCCCCCCTGAAATGCATTCCAAGGCATCACCAGGAACTATGGGAACAAATAACGTACTGGCCACCTCCTCCTTGGAGGTGTCCAAAAATTAGGGCTACAATTCTGGGGTTTTGTCCTGTGGAACTTAATATTCCATTCTGAGTTACTTTCCTGCCATTGTTCTCAGGATTTCAGAACAAGTATAATCTCATCAGTCCTGTGAGTAGCTTTTGCTTAACATTCAGGTGGGTAGCCGTGTTGGTCTGAAGCAACAGAACATAGTTTGAATCCAGTGGTACCTTTTAAGACCAACAAAGTTTTATTCTGGGTATACACTTCCATGAGCAGAAAGCTTATACACAGAATAAAACTTTATTGGTCTTAAAGGTGCTGGCTGGATTCAAACTGTGTTCTTTTGCTTTCCATTTCAAGCAAAGACTGGATCCATCAATGAATTTATTTACCAGCAGTTGTCACCAGCTTTTCAGTTCAAGTGCAAAGCCAAAGTGCTTATCACTGAGGAAATATTCATGTGTGTAAGTGTGCCAGGGTGGCAGCTAGGTGATGCTTCTGTGCATACTTTGGTTTATAGCTGTTAGTCTCTTTCATTATGCCTTGCTTCTCTGCTCCTCTTTGAAGGCATATACTGCAAATGTGCAAAGGTCAGTGCAGGAGAACAAGGCTGACAGTGCAAGAATGATTGAACCAAAAAGCAAAAACAACAAAAAAGATCTTGGTACATACTCTGAAGACAAATCAGTTGTGTCCAGGAGACAGATAAAAGATGCTTCTGAAGCATGCCAATAGTCTCCTCTCCAAAATGTGTTAGTATTTCATGGCTTTTGGGAAGGTAGAATTTTCCAGCCATGGCTGCTCTCTGCTAATCAATCGTGTTTCTACAGAAAGGATGCGGCTACCACCTGGACCTTTTCACGGTGGGCATCATGATTGGGGTGTGCTCAGTTATGGGACTGCCTTGGTTTGTTGCTGCCACCGTCCTTTCTATCAGTCACGTGAACAGCCTCAAGCTGGAATCCAGCTCGGCAGCACCTGGAGAACAGCCTAAATTCCTGGGCATACGGGAGCAAAGAGTCACTGGCCTCATGATCTTTGTGTTGATGGGCCTCTCTGTTTTTATGACGAGTGTATTACAGGTAAATGCATGGGGGAACGGGGCCATGTATTTTGTATTTATTCGAAATGTGTATATTCCGTGTTCTCAGACAGATTTGCTCCTGAGGTGAATTATAATGTCTACACTAAATCAAGGATTGCAGCTATCAGTTGAGCGACCCGGTAATAAAACACTAAAATAATATTGGCATTGTTGTTGTTGTTCAGTCGAACAGTCGAGTCCGACTCTTTGCGACCCCATGGACCAGATCATGCCAGGCCCTCCTGTCTTCCGCCGTCCTCTGAAGTTGGCGCAATTTCATGTTCGTTGCATCGATGACACTGTCTAACCATCTCATCCTTTGCCGTCCCCGTCTTCTTTGACGTTTAATATTGGTATTAAAGAAGTAGAACTGTAACGGCAGTAAATGATGAGTGAACCAATGGTATAGAAAACCAGACCAGGCTGTCTCCTCAGTTTCTGGTTAGCTTTGTTATTGACCAACAGCACTTCTGTCATGGCTGGACTGAACTTCAGTCCACTGGCCCTCATCCAGCCCATTACCTCCTCCAGATATTTATTGAGGACATCCGCTGTCTCATCTCCTTGAGATGAAAAGTGGAAATAGAGTTGGATATCACCAACACACTGATTACACTTTGTTCTAAACTTCCAGACACCCTCTCCCAGCAGTTTCATGTAGGTGTTAATACACAGCGTGGGAGATAGGATGGAACCCTGCGGGACTCCACAGCACAAGTGCCACAGGGCAGAACAGTTGTCTCCAGGCAACACCTTTTGATAGTGATCAGATGGATTGGACTGGAACTGCTGGAGTACAGTACCCTTGATACTCATCTCAGCCAACTGGGTCAGGAGGATATCCCAGTAGATGGTATCAAAAGCTGCTGACAGGCCCAGGAGAATCAGCAAGGTCACATTCCCCCCATCTCTCTCTCTCTCCTAGCAAAGGAGTGATGGGATTTATAAATTAGAGATATTCCCTTATATTTAAACAGTGTTAAGGAACTGTTAATTTGTGGACCTGTCCTAAAATCACACAAACAACTTCTACAACAAGGCTTAGAGACTGCTGAACAAGATTTTTTAGTTGCTCTTTATATTAAAGTTTATTTTTGAAGCCGTTCATCACTCCGGTAGTCTTTATCTGCGAACCCTGAAATATTACAGTAACCAAGGCAGTTTCAGTTCTAAAACCCAGTCCAAAAACTGGATTGAGATAGTTCCAGATTATCTGTCCCATCCATTAAAGCCTGGAATTGCCTGGCAACAACACCAAAAGAGGATATTTATTTATTTACTTCATTTACACCCTTCCTTTCTCTCAGATGGAACGCAAAGTGGCTTAACCCATTCTCCTGTCTTCCATTTTATCCTGACAACAACCCCTCGCAGTAGGTTAGACTGATAGTGTGTGACTGGCCCAAAGTCAACCAGCAGCCTTCCGTGGCAGAATAGGGATTTGAACCTGGGTCTCCCAGGTCCTAGTCTGACTACTATACCACATTGATAAAGGCCTCTTCAAGAGGGGTTTTATGACCATCTTCTTCAATGCGGTCATCACTACTTCGCCTTCAACAAAGCGTTTGCTACTCCCTGGATCCAGTTGGGTAGTCCACTTTTGCTCCTTGTAACCAGTCACAAAGCGCACGGGTCAGACACTCATGGGAGCGGGCATCGGCCTCCTCCAAGGCACTTGCCCACGTTCTTTGGCAGCAATAACTGGAATGAATAAAAGCCACTGTGGCCAAGCAGAATTCTGATAAGCTCCCGAGACTATCCTACTGAACTAGTAGGCTGGATTAATAGGTTAATTACTATATTTATTTTTAATTGTGAACTTAATTTATGAATATTTTACTGATGTACACCACACTGAGCCCTGTGAACTGTAACTGTTTTGTATTTGGGACAAGTCTATCACTAGGTAGAATGGTGTTAGTAGGGACTAGACTTGGCTACAAAAATTAACAAGAAGATTCTGTTGCGAAAGTTCCCTTATATTTGCAAAATATACTCTCATGTAACAGTGGAGGAAAGGAATGGCCTTTTTAAATGAGGCATTTCCCCCCAACCCTTTATAATAATGTTTCCTAACTTTTGATACCTAGAGCACAGTTGTTTTTTTCCTGGCTAGAGTCCTCTTGTATTCAGCTGAAGTAATGAGTCCTCATATTCAAATGTTACACACATATATTTTCTTGATCAGCTCCTAGATTAGCTGGTAGGCATCCTCTTTGCCGTTACAGAATAGTTTTTATTGCCTTATTCCACTTGGCTAGCATTTTGGGTTCAGTAATGTGTCCACGTTTTTTGGAATAATAGTGATGCTTCAAGTGTTCCAGTATACCTATCAGCTATAGCATGGTCTACATCAGTGAATCCTAGCACGTCCTTCCTCCCTTGAGTTTATGTCACTATTCATGTATTGGCAGAGACAGGGGGAGGAGGGTTCAGTGCTTCACAGAGTCTCCTCTTCTGATAGGCATAGAACAGTGAATTTGCCCAACATGATGATAACATTTTTCAGAGTTTGGCCATAGCTCAGTGGCAGGAGCACTGTTTCTGGCTTCAGTTTCTGGCGTTTCCAGGTTAAAGAATTCAAGAGGGGAATCATTTCCTTAAAATTTTGGAGTTGCACATGCGCAGATCATTATTATTGTCCTTTTATTACAGGTCGGGTAGGAGAGATGGTGGTTTCCCAAACGTCATTTAGTGAGATCAAAAATAAAAGGACTTCTTTGATTCATAGTTCAGTCTTTTAGCCATTGTGCTGTCTAGGCATGCTCACAGCCAATTATAGTCCTCAGCTTCCTTTCATCTGGATTTATGTAATCTTCTCCAGGTCAATTCATTGCAACTGCAGATTCAGAGTCTTGCATAAGGAGCATAAAGCACTGCAGTACTGAAGCAATTGCAGGGACGCAATTTCCCCTGTGCACCTGCACAATCACAGTTATTCTCCAAACAGCAGCTAGTTTGATTTAATAACAACTTTAAATTTCTGTGCAGGACCCACAAGTACAAGGCTGTGAAGAAAGCTTACAGTCCTTTTTTGAAGCTTTAGAACGTACAAAGTTATTTGGTGGTGGTGGTGATATACGATGATCTTAAAATATATGAACTAATATCACAAGGAAGAATCAGTTGTTTACCTTGGCACTGATCATATGGCAAGAACAAAAGCAGCAAGTTTACATAGGAAGCAAGTTCCAGTGAATTTACTGGGGATTATCTCTCCTTATATATAATTCTGTATTGGTCATGGACTCTCCTGAACATTCCAACACGCTCCCAAATCAGTTGGCTCCCTGATCTGTCACTCAGAGGGTCTCCCTGTCCACTGGCTGCGTTGCCTGAGTCCTGCCTCCAACATTCTAAACAGTTTGCTGTTCCTCTCCCCCCCATAGCCAGTCAGAACACAGAGGTCATTTGCATATGTGGCCTGATTGGCCTTTGCCTCTAACATTCTAAACAGTTTGCTGTTGCTGTTGGAAGTCCTGAGGTAAAATACATATCACAATCTCCCTGTGGGGCCTGGAGATCTCCCAGAAACCACTGTGTTCCCCAGCCACAGCACATCATTTCCCCTACAGAAAATTTACCAGCTATTACAACTGATGTCCAGATGACCAAGATCAGTTCTCCTGGAGACAATGGCTGCTTTGTTCAGTGGACTCTATGGCATTATACCTTGCTGAGGTCCCTCCCCACCCGAAACCCTCCCCTCCCCAGGCTCTACCCCACAAATCTACAGGTATTTCCCAACCCAGAGTTGGTAACCGTGTAATTGGCTTTGGAGCTGTTTTCCAGACTCTTGGAACCCAGAAGACATGGCATAGGAGGAGGTGGTTTTCTACCTTAGCTGCCACTGCATAGCCCCAAATCAACATAAGTCGATTTTCAGACATATTTGACATAAAATTCACAACATAATTCATCAATCCCTGTTTAGCTTCAGCAGTGTTCTGCATCATGTACCTTCAGAACATACCCTGGCCAAGAGATTTCTCACTCGTCGTACCCACTGTACAGAATGCACTGGCACTGAGCCATGCCTCCTCCCTAGAATGAAGACGACATCCCAAAAGCCCTTTCCTGAATACCCATCTGCAATTTTTTGTGTGATAATGATACTGGAGCTAGCAATGTACAACAACAGTCTTTGTGTAATTCATGCACCCATTGACTTGTGGACCATGAGGGAAAATAAGGCCAATGCAAATGAAGTGTGTAGCACAGAAAGAAGAAGGACAGCATTTTAAAACAATGTTAATTATAAGGTATTGTTGCTGCATATAAATTATAAGCTTTATATCGCTTGCATGTGTTCTGTTTCTTTTCAGTTTATACCCATGCCTGTCCTGTATGGAGTGTTCCTGTACATGGGCGTTTCTTCCCTGAGAGGAATTCAGGTATGCATTTTTATAGACTTCGGGGCAGGGAGTGTAAACTTGTAGCAGGTCAGAGAAACCTAGATCAAAGAATGTCAAGCTGTGGGATGCAATTCCTTGGAAAGGTTCCATCATGACAGGAGCGCTTTGCTTGTATGTGGGAATGTATGAGACCATGATAGAAAAACAGTCTTTACATACTATGTGTTGTTTCCTTTACTTGCATGCATGGTACAAATAGCACACGCGACACCTTGAAAGCATATAACGAGGCCTGCTTTATTCACGGTGGGTTGGATCTAGCGCAGCATTTCTGCACTCGCAAGGACTTCTGCTCAGGGATTGCAGCTTTCTCAGCTTCCCCCACTCCTATGGGCAGCCTGAAGTGCCCTTTAAAAGCCTGATCCTCGGGGTCCCCTCTCCCACAGGAGCAGGATTTCAGGGGCATTGGGAGGAGTTGTGGGAGAGGAGAGCCATGGAAGTCACACTTCATGGGCAGGAGTCCTTGGGTCCATGGAAATACTGTGCTGTATCCAGTCCAGTGTTTTGTAGGTGTACAGCTATGTTTTTAAGTGCTTGCCTGAGAATTGCATGCCAAACCCATGTTTAGAAATGCATATCGTACAAACACACCTGTCAGAGAGCCATGATTGGCTGCAGCTTCCTATTGCAGTGTGGAAAGATCCTGATTGTTGTTAATGTTGGGCAGGAAGTGGAAGAGACCCATTTAAGAAACTATAAAACACATTCTAGCCAAGATAAACACCGAGATCAAGCCACGAGCACAGGAAATGCAAAAAAAACAACAACATTCGGCCAATTACCTTTGTATCATGTGTGGAAATGCTTGCGGCTAAATTATAGGGATTTGTTAGGGGCTATTTATTTATGGATTTGCCCTCCATAATTAGTGCCTTATTTCAAATGCATGCTCTCTTGTGTCATGTACCGTTCCCAGTTCTTTGATCGCCTCAAGCTGTTTGGCATGCCTCCTAAACATCAGCCGGATTTCATCTACCTGCGGCACGTCCCCTTGCGAAAAGTGCATCTCTTCACTGTAATCCAGCTGACTTGCCTCATCCTGCTCTGGGTTATCAAGGCAACTCCTGCAGCTATCATCTTTCCCATGATGGTAAAACAAAAAAATGAAAAAAAAAAAACACCAAAGAGAAACTGAACACTAAGACAGGTTGAACCCTTTATAAGTAGCAGCACTTGTATAATCATACCAGAGTTGTTCTCCAAAAGTTTGTCATTTATTGGGGGTTGTGGGGGTGGGGCTGAATAACAGCAGAACAACAAGAAGAGCAACAGCAGCAGAAACCAGGGGTCATTTCGTAGAAAAAGAGCTAGGGGGACTCATTAGCATAACTCATTAGCATATGCCACACCCTTTGACATCACCGGAAGTGTGTCCTCCCCACAGCCGGCGGCGACCTCCAGCGGGCACCAGCAGGGAGCTCCAGGCCCCGCCCTCCCGCACCTCACCCGGGGGGATGGCGTCCCCCCGCGTCCCCCCCCAAATGACCCCTGGCAGAAACACAAGCATGGACCCTGCTCTAGTGTGAGAGGAGCATAGGTCAGATAATAGGCAATGACGCCAGTCAGCTGTGTGGTGAGAAGACGGTGCAGGGCTGGGTTGGGGAATATATATTCTCACTCTCCCTGCTGATCAGCTGATTGACACTGTTACCAGTCTGTGAACCAGAGCAGACTGGTATACATTTGTATATGTATACAGACTGGTATACATATACATTCCTAGCAACTGGGTCCTCTTGTGTTGTATTTATTAACCCATGTACACACACAGTGCCTTATCCATCTTGGGGTAGGTGAACATATGCCTGCTTCCAAACGGGTGTATCGCCTAGCTGGATGAAGGTGGCTGTGTTTCACAAACAAGAAGAAGAGAATTTTAAAAGTCTACCAAAACTTGTTTTCCCTCCTAAACCCTTCCTTCAGCAGTCCTCAAAATGGTCTATCAGGTGGAAGGTAATAGTAGAAAGTAGCACTGATGGTGCCCAAACTTTTCCCAATTCCTGTTAAAGAATGTCTGACCTTTAAGAGAAAAAAACAGTAGTAGAAAACTCTGCTCTGTCATGTTGACTCCAGATACCTCATTGCATCACAAAATAATAATTCCCCAAGCAGTTCAGAAATAGACCATTTGATAACACCTAACAGGTGGTTTCAGGTAGTCTGAATCCATCTTTTCCCTGCCTCCAATGCTGCTGCTGACCTTCCTACTTCTGCTTTCCCTAGAGATTCCAGCAGGCTTTTAGTATAGTCAATGGATTGATCGTTGCAATACTGATTCTGGTTTTATACCTCCGTGAAGAAGTACTCAAAGTCTGTAGTGTCGGTCTCTGCTGGTGAGTGCTCTCATGATAATGTGAGCTTTTCTTTTTTTTGCTCTTATTCTTCTTCCCTCCCTTGCGCATACCAGGTTTTGGCCTTGGTCTTCGTCCGGCAGGTCATGGATTTCTGTTTTTCAAAAAGGGAACTAAGCTGGCTCGATGATCTCATGCCAGAGAGCAAGAAGAAAAACCTGGAGGATGCCGAAAACAAAGCAATTTCTGACGAGGTAAGTATATATTTATATGCACACTAATATCTCTGTTGGTCAGAACTTGAACATGCTTCAGTAGACTTAAGTGCCAACCCTCAAATCCTCTTGTGTGGTATATATCAACTCAAGACTCCCCTCTCCTCATTCAAGTCTTTGCTACGGATTCCCCAGATAAGGGGTGAGAAGGAGAGGAGCAATTAAATGCATATGAATACAGCAGCAGGCTGTTAATCTAAGATCTAGGTCTGTTGAGAGAAGAGTTCACAAAGATATCAGCAGTGGGACCTGCTGATGGAAACTTCTAGGCATCGCTTATTACACATCAGCAAAGGCAGCTGAAGAGGACCATGAGAATGTTCACAGCCTCTGAGGCATCTTGGCAAAATCAGACAGATGAACACAAAATCTTGCTAATTAAACATTTATACGTGTGATGTGTGTTTGAGGAGGGCTACCAAACCACCATGGATTTTCCTCTCAGGACGGCAGCTAACAAGTGGCAAAGGAATTCCCTAATCCAGAGAAAAATCTGAAAAAGTAGTGAGTTAATGCCCTGTCCCGCAATAATACAGATATTTTTTAAAAGGCCCTGTGCAAAAAAAGTTTATGGACCAGCAGGAGAAGGATGGGATTTCCTTTCCCCCATGAGTCCTGACATGTCCCACTTGTCTTACCTTTTTGTCAATCCTTCCCTTTTGCATTAAAAACTGCACCCATTATCCAACAACAACAAAAAAACGTGTTTAAGCGCATCAGGTCTCCATTTTCATTTGCTCATCCATTTTGTTTTTCCCCAGCACATATCTGACAGCACAATCCAGTCTAATTTGATTTCAGTGGGCTTGGACTGGACTAACTTTGCACTGTAATTTTTAAAAAAAACATATAGCCTCCTCAGCATGGAATGTCTGACTGATAATACTGTAACTCTTCTTACAGTGGTTTAAATGGAATAACAAGTGGCAAAGGAATTTCCTAATCCAGAGTAGTTTCTAGAGAAGATATTCTGGGCATATTACGAGAGACTGTCTCTGTGTATTATGGTTTCCTGTATCATACTGAAGCCATTTCCTGATGTCGTGTGTCCTTGTCCAATATCATACTGGTCTCAGGAAATTAGCTTTTGCTGTGCTGTTCCATCTCTCTTCAGGAGTTCCTCATGAGGTGGTTGCTTTGTACTATAGTGGCCCATCTACTTCAAGTAGACTATCAAAGGGGTGACTTCCTTGTAGTGACACTGCCAAGTGAATCTCTCTGCATCTCCTTTTTACTAATTTACCAGTCCCTGATTTCCCCCCACTTTGTCTTGGTGGTAGAAAGAGCCGTCAAGTCATAGCTGACTTATGGCAGCCCTGATATTCCTTGGAGGTCTCCCATCCAAATGCTAGCTACAACTGACCCTGCTTAGCTTCCAAGATCGGTCAAGACTGCGCTAGCCTGGGCCATCGAGGTCAGGGCCCACCCTGTCGTTCCTATTATTTATTTATTTACTTCATTTATATATAGCCTTGTTCCTCACTGAGGGACCGAAAGCAGCTTACACTAGTCTCCTTTCTGCTGTATCATCTTCACAACAACCGTGTGATATAGATGAAGAAGAAGAGAAAAGATTGGATTTATACCTCGCCCTTCACTTGGAGTCTCAGAGCGGCTTCCAAACTCCTTTCCCTTCCCCTCCCCCCAACAGACACCCTGTGAGGTGGGTGGGGCTGAGAGAACTCTGACACAAACTGCTCTTTTTCAAGGACACCTGTGCCAGAGCTTGTGACTGATCCAAGGTCACATCAGCAGGTGCAAGTGGAGGAGTGGGGAATCAAACCCGGTTCTCCCAGATTAGAGTCCGCGCACTTAACCACTACACCAAACAGTATTAGGTTGAGAGTGTGTGACTGGCCCAAGGTCACCCAGCAAGCTTCCCTAGTACAGTGGGGATTCAAACCTGGGTCTCCCAGGTCCTAGGTAGACACTTAACTACTACACCATACTGGCTTTCTATTATATAGACTATGGCCTCCTTCGGTGGGGACCAAGTTGATGCTAAATAAGATAATAATTAGATAGTTCACACAGTTCAAGCTGTATGTATTCACCCCTTTCTTTGTAAACAGGAAACCTGCCAAAGACTATAACTTTCAATAAATATAATGAGCACAATCTTGCAAAGGTTAGCCATGAACGAGTCCCAATGAACTTTGTGAGAAAATACATCCAACTGAGTAACGTTTCACTAATGTCAGGGGGGTTGAATGGGACTAACTTTTGCTGAATATGTGCAGGGAATAGGAGTATGGTATATGATTTTCATCTTATTTCAACAAGTGTCAGTGAGAATTACCTGTTACATGTCAAATAGGAGTCTGAAAAGATGATGGAAAACGGTCAACAAACTGTGATTGAAATACCGGTAGTGAATACAAATTATCTGGTGGTGCCAGGAACTGAAGCAATGACACGCAATATGTCATCAAGAAATAACAACAGGTAAAAAAAAAAAAGCAATAATAATGCCTCCAAAGAAGCCTTCAGCCTTCACAACTTAGACACGCTGGTGATCAAGGACTGGTGTACATTTTTGGTGGATTTTAGGGCTGCAAACTTCATGTCTAAGTTCAGACATTATGAGAAACCTTACTTTAATTCAGCCAACTATGGTTAGGTGTTTGAGGCCATGGCATTAACTGTGATTAGTTAGGGCATATCAAATCAGAACTGGAAGCCATCATTTGAAGTTAGTTTATTATCCGTAGTTTTGATCAAAATACATATGTTTGTTCACTAGAAGACTCTGGGTTTCCTAAACTCAATGTGTTTTCTCTTCAGTCACATGTCGGCTGCAGGAAAGTCATTTTAAAGATCGGGGGGGGGGGGGTTTTGGCTTGAACTGCTGGTGGAGGGAGCCACCTGCCTTCCCTCCAGGTTACTTTCAGGCACTGAAATACCTGTCCCCCCCTGGAATTATTTACATAAATTTGGAGCAGCATGTGGAGTATTCTGAGCACATACTGCTCCAAATTTAAGTAAACAACTCCTTGATGGGGGTATTTCAGTGTCTGAAAATGGCCTGAGGGAAACGCAGGAACTGTTCCTCCACCCCAAGCAGCAGTTCAAGCTGGAAAACACCTTCACTCTGTAGCTGGAGAGGGTGGTGCTGTGCAACAAGCCAGCTTTCTGCCAGGATGTCTGTATTCACACATTGTGCGGAACTATAATTACAACTGAGAGCCAAAATACACAATATGTTTGTTCCCTAGATGTATTTGGGTTCCCCGAACCAGGATCTTGAAGGATCATTGGCAAGCTGAATCTTGGTTTCACAAACTGACCATAGTTAAAATAAACCATGGTTTTGCATTACCAAGCCACTGCTTCCCTTTATGCTGGTGTAGATACTCATGGCTCGCATTGGTGAGATTTGACCAATGCTGTTCCAGAATCTTCTGATCTGTTGTGAGGACTACTGTGGAAACCTGAGTGGCTTTATGACCATGCTGGAAAAATCAGGCATTTCTGAAAATTCAGAAAATTCTATTTCTTCTGCCTTGATCACATTTGTGCCCTTCCGGCATACACCCTGGGCGTGGCAGAGTGATTCCCCTTCTGCCCAATCAACCTGCTCCTGGCACCATGCTTTTGAAGAGCTCTCTGTCTGCAGTAGCAAAAATGCTGAGCCTGGATATGTTGTTTTCTCTCTCTCTCTCTCTCTCTCGCTCCTCTTTCACAACCCGAGTCCATTAGCACCTTAGAGACCAACACGATTTTGGGGGTGTAAGCTCTCAAGAGTCAAAGCTCCCTTTGGCAGATCCCAGAGAGGTCTGACACTCAAAAGCATCTACCCCCCTCCCCCAATCTTGTTGGTCTCTAAGGTGCCGCTGGACTCAAATCTAGCTGTTCTACTGCAGACCAACATGAAACTGTCTTTCACAATTGTATCCTAGCCTTATGAATTTCCTGCATTGTGCAGGGGGTTGGACTAGATGACGCTGGAGGTCCCTTCCCACTCTGAGATTCTACGATTCTTTGAAGGGCGCTCAGAGCAGTCTACATGGAATTATTCCACGTATCCACACAGCATGGCATCCTTTGAGATTAACTGATACTTCATCAATTAAAATTGGTATTTAGTTAAAAACTCCAGAAAATCCTTTAAATGTGGTTGATTATCGGAGGCCCCGATCACATGGGAGGTTTAGGGCTGGAAGAGGGACGGATCGGGGGCGCAGCAAACGGGCGCGATCAAACCGCAACATCTGGGAAGCGGCGTGCACCCGTCCCTGATCCGGCCCTTCAGGCCGAAAATCCGCTGTAAAAAAACCCCACCTACAGAGCAGGACTTACCGGAACCGCCGCAGCAAGCGCGGCCGTCGGATCGCTGGAGCGCCCGTCTTCTGGAGCAATCGAGACTCCCAGCCAAACTGCGCATGCGCACACATGTGCAGTCGGTGGCCGCGTGCTCCCTTCTGTGGCTTTCCCCCCGGCATCTGATCGTGCCGGGGAGCAACTGCGCGGCGGCTCATGGGATCTGTGTGATCCCGCCGCCGTGTGTCTCTTTTGGTGCAGCTTTCAAAAGTGCGGCTTTGCCCGCATCAATTTCCCTCCGTGTGGCAGGGGCCGGAAATGTTTTTAAAAGACATCATGGAGGCGGGTATCTCACTGCATAACACATCACAGTCCTTTTGAAGATTTCACTGTACTGGACTTTGAACTTAAAATGTTTATTTCAGGGCAGATCCGGCGGACATCAACATCTCAGATGAAATGTCCAAGACAACTGTGTGGAAGACTATCACCATGAATACAGAAAAACTCTAAATCCAAAGAGAAGAGGTATGGCAATTCTTAGTGGGAGAGCCCCAGATTTGCACTTCCACATGCGCCCAACTACACTGAATCCCCCAATCAACCCTTTAGATTTGGTTATTTTAGATGCTGGTGGAAGCAGAAGCATGCTGGGAAGGCTGTCCATCACTTCTGCATCCCAAGACATTCCTGGTCTGCAAGACCGCACAGAGCTACAGATGATTATAAGACTGCTGTAGTGACATGAGGCGGATGCATCTGTGGCTACCATTTTTAAATCCCATATGCATACCGTGTGGTGGCAGACAGTGCCAGATAACAGACCGGTCTCGGGAGCCCTCGAAGACCTTGGTTTGTTCCCATCAGCCATGCTTTCACAGGGAAGCCACTGCTAACTGTTTCTTTCCAAAACACAAGAGTTTTCTTCTGCATGATTATGGTCTAATTATATATTATTTCTCAGCTGATACATTTATTACATAACTTTTTGGCAACCTCTGCCATACAGACGTGGGAAGGGAGCTAAACTTCCACAGATTGTGGGAGTTCATGGACATGGATCTTTCCTGCCTTGCCTATGCCTAGCAGTGCCCTGCCCCCTTGAAAAATTATTCATTTATTTATTAGATTTTTTTTAGTCGCTACTCACCCAAAGGGTCTCGTGGCAACTTACATAGTTAAAACCAATACCATAAGGTAAAACCAAAAACATAAGGTAAAAACAACATAGAAACAAATAACACAATAAAACATTAACGTCAAAACACATGACTGTCACCATACCGCCGTTAAAACAGCCCAAACATGTGGGTTACCTTCCAAAGGGCAACCTAAACAATTCAGCTTTGCATGCTCTGCAGAAACTAAACAAGTCCAGAGGACACAGGTCGGGTGTCATCCGAGTGTCATATGTCTGAGGTTGGTGGGGTCTTCTAGATCAGCATACCATACAGCGTGGGGGAGCTGTAGCAAGAAGGGAGAGCTGGACAAAATCACCCCCTTATTACACACATGCATACACACCCACAAACCCACAAAATAAATATATAATGATCTCATTAGTACCTAAATGACCACTACGCTATGTGGGTTCTATGATACTGCAAGATTCTGTCCCTTACATTCTCATCCAGGTTGATCCTAATCCAGTGCCAAATAAAAGGTTGCTAGTTCTTAAGAAATCTTATTTATTTATTTACATTTTGATTTCTAGGCCGCCCTCCCCGTGAACGGGCTTAAATAAATTGTTTCATTTCCCACATAGCTATGCATGCAGCAATTTTCAATGCTGCGCTAACATTATTCTTGCTGTTGTGAGGAAAGAGTTTAATGAGATACTTAGATCCCTGTTTGAACTCTTTAGCAAAATATTGCAGAAGGGGACAGTCTAGAGTCACGTGGAATCCCCACCCACTTTAATCCTGGTGCAAGTGCAGAGCTTTTCCCACGCATCTGCGAGTGATGTGGAGCCATGTTGTCAGGGTCCCATTTCTTGCTGGATTCCCCTGTGTTCTATGCTGTTCAGGAGGCTTCCCAGATAATCAGCAGCCACTTACTGGAAGGCACGGGGGGGTTAGTTAGGGCCAGATCCATTTCTTTCATGAATTCCCACCATTTGTGGGAGCATGGATCTTTTTTTTTTTTAATTAAATATAAAAAAACAGTTAAAAATATGAAAGCAAGTCCTGGTGTTTATGCAGGGCAAACAGGGAGGTGTCAATTTTATGTGCTGCTGAGGCTTCCAAGAGGGGCATCCATTTTTCTTGAAGATTGTCAGGAACGGGTTGATTTTCGGATCGTAGGATGCTAGTGGAAACTTTGTCCTGTAAAAAGAAGTCCCACAGTTTCAGGAACCAGTCACTCAGTAGCAGCGTCTTCTTGGATTTCCAATGAAATGCAATAACATTCCTAGCGGCCGCAAGACACAATTCTATCAACTCTTTCATAAGCCCATTGGGGGCAGGATGGCTCCAATGATTCAAAAGGAACAAGGAGGGTTGTAGTTGGAGGGTGCAAATTAAAAGTATTTGGGCATTGACTTCTCTCCAGAAGGCCTGGACCTGGGAGCATGGATCTTAACTGGCTGAAAATGCTTCACCCAATCAACATCTTTTGGTGGTCCCCGGCCCCAGGGACGTCCGACTGGCCTCAATCAGGGCCAGGGCTTTCTTGGCCCTGGCCCCTGCCTGGTGGAATGAGCTCCCGTGTGAGATCAGGGCCCTGTGGGATTTATTACAATTCTGCAGGGCCTGCAAGACGGAGCTCTTCCACCGGGCTTTTAGTTGAGGCAGCGGACGTCCCCCCCCCTTGGGCCCCCTCCATCTGTAGCCTGAGTCCTTGGGATGCTAAATTTAAAGATCTTTATAGCAAAAACTGATTTTATCATCATCAACCACTGAAGCATCTGGCTTTTATTAGAGTGGTACGATACTTATGACTTATGTGCTGTTGTGTCATGTTATTTTACATTGTATTTTAAAATGGTTTTAACTGTATTGCACTTTTACTGTCGGAACCCGCCCTGAGCCCGTCAAGGGGAAGGCAGGATACAAATCCAATAAAATAAATAACTAAAATGAATTAATTAATTTTAAAAAATGGCGAGGAATAGGGGGATATCAGTAACGTCGGGGCAATGAATTTTTATGCACGTCCTCAGGACTAGTACATCACTGTTTTCTTGGTCCACAGCTTTGCTTATTCAAGCCTCTTGGCTTTGGGCAAGGAGGAGGAGGAGCAACACATGAAGAGATGACTCAGGGAAGAGCAAAACTGTGCAAACAAAGGTGGAAAAATACTTTCAGAATGGAGAAAGGCACAAGCTAACAAACTGCCCCGGGTGCTTTCTTCATACAAGTAACTGGGGTTCATATTAAAGCCATTTAGAAGTTTTCTTTGATTGTGTGCTTCAGTGGGCATTCTAAATATCTTCAGACCAGCAAATCAAGACGCACACGCAGTCGTTGAAAGTTCAGTGTTAAAGCCTCCGTGTGTGTGTGTGTATGCGTTTGCTGTGTTTGCAGTTTCTTAGTCGTAGAGGGACTGCTACTGCTGCATACTTTATTTTTAAAGTTAACAGTTTCTTTCCAATATAACCTTTGATTGTATAACAACAATAATACCAAGAACTATTTTATGGTTTGTTTTTTGTAATCTCCATACTGACTTGCTACGGGTTCAGTTAAGGATTTCGGCTGGGTATCACAGCAGCAATTGAATTCATAAGGAATAATATAATGTAAATGTTTTCAAGCAGGGCTGGGAAAAAGCCCCTCTTAGATGGCGATCCTCTCTGAATGTCTCGTTTTTAATTCATTTTTTAAACAAAAACAAGTTGTTTAAATTCTGTTCAGCACCTTAATTTTGTTCATTTATGGTTTTGCAATTGTTCTGAATACAAGACTTTAATAAATCAAAACATGTAAAATTATTTCCATCACAGTACAAACCTGGATCAAACATCTGTGCATTGCATTGTCAGTATATGTTCAGCAACAAGTTGAATCCAACAAAAACAAAATATTGGCCATGGAAATGAGCTAGTAGGAGAGGGAAGGGGTGATTGGTCCAATGGCTGTCTGATGTCGCACTTGGCATCATCCTAAAATGGGAGTGCCTGCAGCCAATGTCATCCTGTGGGACAGCAGTGGACAGTCTAGGCCTGACAATGTGATGTAATGTTTGGTGCCTAGGGAATAGTTTTTTTAAAGCACGTTGTAGAAGATACGTCATAATGATTTACATAGGAACTTTTCTGGGAATGAGCACAGGAATAGAATCCACTATTATTATTATTTTTTGGGTCTTACTCATAAGGTGGTCCATTATTTCATGTCTGCACTCAGGAAACCACTTCAGTTTCTAAGATCTGTTCTTACACCATCATATACCTATTTCCCAAGATGGCCTCACTGTTTTAAAAAAAACCAGCCCAATGGGGTTACCTAAGGACCGGGCACATTCAGAAAAATCTGAAAAAGTAGTGAGTTAATGCCCTGTCCCCCAATAATACAGATGTTTTTTAAAAGGCCCTGTGCAAAAAAAGTTTATGGACCAGCAGGAGAAGGATGGGATTTCCTTTCCCCCATGAGTCCTGACATGTCCCACTTGTCTTACCTTTTTGTCGATCCTTCCCTTTTGCATTAAAAACTGCACCCATTATCCAACAACAACAAAAAAACATGTTTAAGCGCATCAGGTCTTCGTTTTCATTTGCTCATCCATTTTGTTTACCCCCCCCAGCACATATCTGACAGCACAATCCTATGCAGACTTATTCCAGTCTAATTTGATTTCAGTGGGCTTGGATTGGACTAACTTTGCACTGTAATTAAAAAAAAAAAAACATATAGCATCCTCAGCACGGAATTATTCCATTTAAACCACCGTAAGAAGAGTTACAGTATTATCAGTCAGACATTCCTTATCTTGCCTGCTTTTAGGTTAAGATCTGTAGCCGTGTTAAGTCTGTAACAGCAGAAAAGAGCAAGAGCCCAGTAGTGCCTTAAAGACTTTAAAGAAACTTGTGGTAGGGTATGAACCTTTGTGAGTCACTGCCTACTTCTTTGGATACCTGACGAAGTGAGGTGTCTGAAGAGGTGAGCAGTGACTCACAAAAGCTGCCACAAATTTTGTTAAGTCTTTAAGGTGCTGCTGGACTCTTGCTCTTTTCTATTGCCTGCTTTTGTTATTCTCCACATCAATCCTTTCTGTAATTCTTATTCTACCAATATTTCAAAGAGTGAAAAAGCAGTAGTTTCTTTGGAATTCTTTTTTTTTTAATCCTTTAAAAACTGGTTGCCTGTCTTTCCTCCAGCCTGCTTTCTTTTGCATTCATCCAGCATTAGATACCCATGAAAGACCCAGGTCTGCCTCATCTATCGGGTTAGACAGTGTTTGTCATTTTGCTCAATAGGAGTATTGAATAGGAAGCTACCACCATGTTTGCGCCATGGCTGACAGGAAAGGATGAATCGGCATGAGAGGGGAGGAGGAAGAGGGGGGTGAGAAGTAGAACTAGATAGCTGAAGGGTCCACAACCGAAAACCTGTCAGAACCTTGCTCAGTAAGGTTATTCTGATCTCTTCTATTGTATAATTAATGAAGCTAATAGTGTTAGCTAGGTTGAAAAGACGGTGAGATCAGAACATTAACATTTATTAAACCAACGGTTGATTAGGCTGGCCATCAGGAATATGTTATTTCATTGGAGCCATTCATGCAAAGATAGGTCTCTGCCTCAAGGTGACGACAATCTAAATTCATTGGAAGATACGATGGCATTCATTCTTGTAAACATCTATTCATTCATCTTTCGTTTCCAAAAAGCTTCCCCTGAATCATTTGGCCCATCATTTGGTCTGGTGCAAGAGTGCAACTTAAGTCCATTTCTGCACTGTATTGCAATGCTCCCTCTAAGCTGTGGAGTCTTGTGAGCAAAAATTCTACTTTGTGAGCTACTGGCATTAAAGTTGTGAGCGAGCGATTTGGCTACTGCATAAATCAGTTTGCTCTGGAGCCATCCTTCCTGAGCTGAGACAAAAATGTGTGAGCTAGCTCACACTAACTCGGCTTAGAGGGAACACTGCTGCATTGTATCCTTTAATTTTCTTGATTTGGAATAGAGAAGATTTATTTGTTTGCTTAGCTGTTATTTAACAGTCTCTTTACTTTTTCTTCTCACATCAGCAGTGTTAAGGGTGGCACTGTTCATACGTGTAGTAGCTATGTGATTCTTTTTAGGCACCAATCTGTGTGGAGAGAGAAGGATGTGTTCATTCTTTCCCATCAGGGATGGTTCCCCACCAAAAACCACCCCTGTTAAACTAATTTTACCCCTTGTGGGGAAAACAGTTGGGTATTATCCCTAAAAAGAATTGCTTAAACACACATTATGTGTGTTTTGAGAACTTGGCCTTGGATTATCAAGTGAGGTAGTAACTCTACAGAAGTGGAGTAGTAACTCCCCAGTAAACATGCATGTTGTCTGGTTTGCTTAGCTGTTATTTAACAGTCTCTAATTTTACCCCTTGTGGGGAAAACAATTGGGTATTATCCCTAAAAAGAATTGCTTAAACACACATTATGTACAATTTTACCCTTTGTGTAATGCTCTTTTGAGAACTTGGCCTTGGATTATCAAGTGAGGTAGTAACTCTACAGAAGTGGAGTAGTAACTCCCCAGTAAACATGCATGTTGTCTAGCGTCCAAGTGAAGAGTGCTGAGTTTTTTGGTCCTGGAAAGAACAAAGAGTCTTGCAGATTCTCTGATGGTCAGAATAGCGGTTGCTTCTGTGTCCCAAGACAGGGACGTGGAGTTGTGATCCCTGGAAGAAGTAGTAGTAAAATATGGACTTCAGTCCTTCCTGTTCCGCTGAACTTAAGGTAATATACATGGGGATCTCAAGAGGTCTCCCATGGAGGTACCGACCAGGCCAGGCCAGCCTTGCTTAGTAATATGGTTGCACTGCATTTCTTCCATCCATACCTTGGCTCAATATACAAGATGTTTCTCGAGTGCAAAAAAAATATCACTATTAGAGCAGTAGGGGGTTGCATAGGCAGCTGAGAGGCTGAGGGAATGCAAGTGCCAGGATGTAAACCACTGATATTTCTCTGTCCTCCCCAGAGGTTGATCTTTCTTTCTGCACAGAATGGAAACAGTAGCTTAAAGGAAGAGTTGTAAATGATTCCAAGATTATTAAACCTGGAAAGAGATTATCTTCACTGCAAAGTTCACTGGCCGTGATCAAATTGCAGTGCATGACATTCAAATCCAGGTAGTGCTGAAATAATCAGTTGTCTGAGAGTTCCCTTTAGAACATAAGAGACGCCAATGTTGGATCAGGCCAAAGGCCCATCCAGTCCAACACTCTGTCAAACAATGGTCAAAAATACCAGGTGCCATCAGGAGGTCCAACAGTGGAGCCAGGACACTAGAAGCCCTCACACTGCTGCCCTCCCCCAAACACCAAGAATACAGACCATCCCTTGCCACAGAGTCCCTATCTATACCTTGTGGCTAATAGCCACTGATGGACCTCCAGGTGGCATGCATTTAAACTCAATCATTTCTGGAGCATATTGGTCTGTGTTCATATCAGATACCATATACCCTTCCCCCCCCCCCATGTCAGCATAGCTGACAGGCCCTCAATTACTTGAATTAAAAGGGTGATCCTCAAAGATGTTCTTTTCTGAGACTGATGTGAAATGGAACTGCATGGCATCATACAGATATACAGATAGCTATAGTTAGGTAGACACACAGAAACAGGGAGGGGGACTGAATAATGCACTTGCTGTCTCATATTAAAATGTCCTGATGAGTAGAAAAATCTGAAGACAGGAGATTTGTAAATCTCTTTCTCCCTTGAAACAGAGGGGCTGTTTTTGCACTATCTGTTGAAATTATCTAATCTCACCACATTTAGTCCAAGACACCAACTGCTTTGGACTGCAATTCAAGGGGCTTCAGATGCCTCTCAGCACATTTCAAATCAATTTGAGGCCACTGGGATACAGTTCAGGGAACTACTTTGAAATACCTACAGAGTCTATACCAAGCCACATATAGGATGGGATGCTGAACAATGGGGGTTCCATTCTTCTTTCATACCCGTCAGTCAACTTTGAGACTGGCGGGAGCTCAAAAGAACATGTCATCATTGGGCCAAATGCCATAATCCCCAAGGGCTCAGAATGGGTTACATCCAGGGCTCTTTTTGTAGCAGGAGCTCCTTTGCATATTAGGCGACACCCCCACTAATGTAACCAATCCTCCAAGAGCTTACAGAGCTCTTCTTACAGGGGCTACTGTAAGCTCTTGCAGGACTGGCTACATTAGGGGTGTGTCGCCTAATATGCAAAGGAGCTCCTGCTACATAAAGAGCCCTGGAAAGAAATATTTTTTTAGAGGTGGGGTAAGATCTATTAGACTATGCTTTCTGTTGTTGTTTGCCCTTCAGGACAGAAAAAAATAAAGAAATTCCTAGGAACAGAGATTTTTGTTTTAAAGTATACTTTCATATTGTTA